GACTCCCATTCCAATGCTACTCTACTGTTGTTAAATTGTCTTGTTTATGAATATTCAAAATATTTAGAGTAAATAAGGCTTGATTTATTCTATTTCTGGGGGACCATATACCTGCCCCTTTTTGTTTAAATAACATATTTTTTAAGGTTTGATGAGTATGTTCTATAATGCCTTGTCCTTGAGGATTATAAGGAATGTCAGTAATGTGTTTAATGTTCCATTTTGTGCAAAAAGCTGCAAAAGAATGACTAGTATAAGCAGGGCCATTGTCAGTTTTGATGGTGGCTGGGACTCCCATATATGTAAAACAGGAGTATAAATGTGAAAGTACATGTCTAACAGTCTCTCCAGGAGATGGAGTAGCCATAATAAGACCAGAATAAGTGTCTATAGTAACATGTACAACACCTAACTTGCCAAATGCAGGAATATGTGTAACCTCCATTTGCCATAATTCATTTGGTGAGAGGCCTTGAGGATTAACCCCTGCAGAAAATGTAGGCTGATTAATTGTTTGACAAGTGGGACAGTGAGAAACAATATGTGTGGCTTGATTCTTTGTTATGTGAAATTTTTTAATTAAATCTTTTGTATTAACATGAGTTAATTGATGAAATTGAGTTGCCTGTCAAACAGAACCAACAAGTAATTGATCTATTTTTTCATTGCCAGCCACTAAAGCGCCTGGAAGGTTAGTATGAGATCTGATATGAGTAATAAAAATTGGAAACTGGCGATTTCGTATAATCGACTGAAGTTGTTGAAACAGTTTGGAAACTTCATCAGTTTCTGTAATAGTAACTGTTTCTAAGGCTAGAACTGTTTGTACAACATATTGTGAATCAGAAACAATATTTAAAGGTGAAGTAACATCTTGTAAAAGCTGAGTAACAGCTTGCAGCTCTACTTTTTGTGCTGAAGTATAAAGCACGGTCCACACTTTGGTTACAGTACCAGAATAACCTGCCGGTCCGTTACTGCTGCCATCAGTAAAGAAAGTAGGAGCATGAGGTATAGGCGTGGATTTTACTATTTTAGGCAATATTCATTGAGTTAATTTTAGAAATTGGAGTAATTTATTTTTTGGATAGTGATTATCAATAGTTTCTACAAAATCTGATATACCCAGTTGCCAATCTAGGTTTTGCTGATAAGCCATTTGAATCTGTGAATTAGTAAGAGGAACAATAATTTTTTTAGGATCTTGGCCACTTAGCTGTTTTAGTCTTTGACGGCCTTTAAATATAATTTGACCAATTTTGTTTAAATATGTCCTAAGACGTTTTTGTTGTTTATGTGGGAGAAAAATCCATTCAATTATACCCTCTTCTTGAATTAAGGTAGCAGAGGGAGAATGTTCTGATGGATAAACAATGAAATCTACTCCTTTTTCAAGATTTACTCTTGAAAGTTGAGCTTTGTGAATACGAGACTGAATCCATGCCAATTCCTCTTGAGCTGCCTGAGTTAGTTTACGAGGACTATTAAGATCAGAGTCACCCTTCAGTATATCAAACAAGTTACTTAAAGCATAAGTAGGAATTCCTAACATAGGTCTAACCCAAGTTATGTCTCCTAACAACTTTCGAAAATCATTCAGAGTTTGTAATTTGTCTATGCGTATTTGAACCTTTTGAGGAACTGTTTTATTTCTATCGATGAGAGACCCTAAATAAGTAAATGGATAATCCTGTTGGACTTTATCTTCAGCAATTATTAAACCAAATTGAGGCAATATTTGTCTGGCCTGTTGGTACAGCTGTTCTAATTTCTGTTTGAATGAACATGCAAATAAAATGTCATCCATATAATGAATAATATAACTATGAGGAAAACATTTTCTTAGTATTTCTAAAGGCTGATTGACAAAATGCTGGCACAGGGTTGGGCTATTAAGCATGCCCTGAGGCAAGACTTTCCATTGGTACCATTTGGTTGGCTGTTGATTATTTAAAGCAGGTACAGTAAAGGCAAATTTTTCTCTACCAGATATTTGCAAAGGAATTATAAAAAAGTAGTCTTTTAAATCTACTATTATAATATGCTGGTCTTTAGGGATCATAGCCAGAGATGGAAGTCCTGGCTGAAGAGTTCCCATTGATTGTATAATTGCATTGATCTTTTTTAAATCAGTTAACATTCGCCATTTACCAGATTTCTTTTTAACAACAAATACTGGGAAGTTCCACGGACTGGTGGACTTTTCTATATGTCCTGCTTGTAGTTGTTCTTCTACTAATATTTGAAGAGCATCCAATTTTTCTTGGTTTAGCAGATACTGCTCTGTCCATATGGCTTTTGTAATATCCAATTTAAAGCCAATGCATAGTGGTGCTCTTCAGCAGCAGTGGCCACTACCCAAAATTTGGATAGCCTAAACCATACTGAGAGGAATGTGCTTTTGGTACCATGAAAGTCTTAGCCCCTTGGCATTTTTTACCCAAACCAAAACAAGGATCATAATTCATATTAAGCATCATTTGTTTAACAGGAGCAGATATATTAGATATATTGATATAAGCGCCCCATCGTTGTAACAAATCTCTTCCCCATAGATTAATAGCAATGTCAGCCACATAAGGTTTTAAAGTGGCTGTCTGTTTATCAGGGCCAGAACAATTTAAAATCTGTTGACTTTGAAATATATCAGTCATAGTTCCAATTCCAGTAAGTACCGTAGGAACTTGTTATAAAGGCCAAGCCTTTAGCCAAAAACTTTTAGAAATAATTGTAAAATCAGCTCCAGTATCTACAAGTCCAACAAAAGATTTGCCATTTAGCTTAATTTCTAATTGAGGTCTCTGGTCATTGATAAAATTTGCCAATATACTTTAGTTCCAGTACTTCCAAAACCTCCTTGTCTTAGAACATTAGATTTCCCAATTTGTATATAAGGTAATATCAGAAGTTGTGCAATACGGTCTCCAGCCTGAATGTAATAATCAGAAGTGGAAATCATCATAACTGAACTTTCTCTTGAATAGTCCGGATCAATTACACCCAAATGCACTGAAATTCCTTTCAATGTAAGAGAGCTCTGGCCTAGGATCAACTCCTCTCTACTCTGAGCAGGAGCAGCAGACTGGCCATTGTTAAACGCTCCAGAAGAATGATTCTTACGGCAGCAATTAAAACACCTACAGGAAGTTCTTTGTCCTCCGGGATTGTTTTTCCTTTGGATAGTCTCAGCCCACATTTGCATTTTATATGCATCTGACCTGCAAAATTTTAAAAATCTTTCCAACGGCACGCCATTTAATTTTAATAGATGTAAAAGCCACTTGCACTCTGAATTAGCATTATCAAAAGCCAACATATATAACACCATATTTCTTAAACCTGGAGGACTAATCATTTTTTGCACAACATCTTGTAATCTAGCAATAAAATCTACATAAGGTTTCTTAGCATTTTGTTTAACATTTATACAGAAAAGCACAGTTTGCCCAGGAGAAGCTATCTTTTCCCATGCTCTAATACAGCACTGCCGAACTTGAGAGATAGTTTGATTATATTTTAATTGAACATTTATGCCAAACCAGTTTCCTTGTCCCTTAATTCCTGCTGCCAAGATATTTATTGGCAGATCTCGGGATTGATTCAGCCACGCCTGTTGGTGGGTTTTATCCCTCCACCAAGCGGTGAACTGTAAAAATTTAGACAGAGATAAAACTGTTCGTGCCAGAGATTCCCAATTCTAAGAAATTAATCTTTCTGTTTGGGCCAATCTTTTAAGCAAGCCTTTGGTGTAAAGAGAGTCTGTACCATATGAAACATAGGCTTGTTTTAATTCTTTGAGAGTTTTAAACGGAATGAGCTCATGAATACGGTGTAGGCTTTGCAGTGTTTGTGACATCCGGTCCTGATCATCGGAATCCGAGCTCAGCTGTACTATAGCAATAGAATAAAGATATGTTTCTGAATTTCCATTTAACTGTGTTTCTCTTATACCTTTTGAGACCTTAGTTTGTTTTTTAGGATTTTTTCTAATAGCCCGTTTTAAGGATGGACCGCTCTTCTGGGAGCCATTTGCATTAGAAAGCAAGGGCTCCGCAGGTGAAAGCTTGTTCTGGCTACAGTTTCGAGCCAAAGTTCAATTTTAAAATCTTTTCGCTACTCCGTTTTTTCTACGGACCCGTGCTGGGGGCCAACGGCCATCTCTACTGGCTCTCTCTTATTCTGGCCTGATGTAGACAGAAGGTCCTAAACAAACTCCTCTTTCTTACAAAAAGCAGGCTCCGGATCTCACTGCACTTTTTTTAGGATGGAGTTCTCCATCTCGCTAAAAGAAGAGACTGAGTCTGACTCAGCATAAAAAATTTTTTCCCATGTGTTACCCTGAGCGCAATATCAATTCTTATTTCTTTAATTCAATCCCAGGAGTACTCACCTCTCTCCTTCCGGGTGTCTAGGCTCGAAGTCTTCTCCAGGTCCCCTGCAATGTGTACGGAGATACCCTCCACTCAAGGCAAAGACACTTTACCAAAAAAGACCCTGTAGAAAAATTTTCCTGCCGTATCCTGCCGGCTATGCCAGTTGCTGGGAATGTGGCCAATGCTCCCCGCAAAAAACTGGGTCCCTTTGGTAGAGTTGCAAGGGATAAGAAAATAGTAGAGAAAAATGGAAAATAATTGGAAATAAAAGAATACACAGAGACAAAGGTATAGTTTTTTAAGTTTATAAAAATTATAGGCAAAGCGGGATCTCAGGGGGCCTAGATTTTCTCCGTGAATCTCAAAAAGGCCCCAATGAAGTTTTACATGGTAACTTATAGGGAACAGTGATTAGTTGCCAGGGATAACAGATTTACATAACAGCAGGTAGTTCCTCTTAGGTTAACATATTTTCAAAAGGCTTCTACAGATCCTTTAACTAATTCTATCTACGTGAACAAATGGTTATAAAATCTTTCAAAGATTAACTTCTATGTTCTAAGGTAAATTTATCACTTAACAGAGGGGTTAAACAGAGATATATTGGCTCCATATTTTGTTTATCAGGTTATTGTGAATGGAGACAGGTAGTCTGGAGTATTAAGCAGGAACTTACTTTTAGGCAGAGTGGCTGTCTGTGGCTGTCTGTTCCAGAAGGCACTCTATTATCAGCTCTCATCCTATAGTTTTTAACAGATTCGCTTTGCTTTACAAAGCAAATCCAAACCTTTAGGTCTGAGAAACGTAGCGCCTTGTGGGATACAGCCGTTTCTGTCTTTCAGAGACGCCCTTCCGAGTGCAACACCATTTGAAATGCAAACCAACGCGTTCACATATTCCTTCAGGGCAAAGCTCTGCAAAACTCCCGAGACAAATCCTGTCTGCAAACACGTTTATATTAATTCATGGAGCAACATTCACTAGTCTTCCCGCTTCTGTTCTTGTCCCCATAATCTATTCTTTGCATCAGAATCCAGAGATATCCTTTTAAAATATCTGATGGTCAGACAATATATCATTTCTCTGCTCAAAATCCTCCAAAGACATTCCATCCCAGAATAAATTGAAAGTCCTTACTAGAGGCCTGCATGCCATGCACGGTGTGGCCTCCCTCTAAGCTCACCTCCTGCCCTGACTGCCCCTCGCTCACTCTGCCATGACACACCATCCTCCTTGTTCCTCTTATACCATGCCAAGAATGACCCTGTCCAGAACTTTTGCCACTGCTGTTCCCTCTGACCAGAAGCCACATACCTGTGTGGCTCACTCTCACTTCTCTCAGGTCCCAGCTCCCCATAGAGGCTTCCAAGACCACCCTATCAGAAATGGCTCTTCTGTGTGAGCCTCCAAGGAACATGTAGGCCTCGTGAAAATACGACTTCTGTTCAATGCTGCCTCATGAGCACAAGAAGAGTACCTGCACATAGCAAGAACTTGGTAACTATTTGTTGACTGGATGGTGGGATGAAGATCGGAGACCAAAGAAGACTGTAGCCTCGTGCACATTGGCAGCAAACAGAGCCAGCATCTTGGGAACATGAAAGAACAGGGTATCATAACGTCTATGTCTTTTTGCTTTCCTGACACTCACCAGTACTGCGCAGGAAACTTGCCGAGTCTGAGGTTGTGAGAAGAGGATGAAGACAGCAGTGAACATAATGAAAATCTTCTAAAACTGGATTGTGCAGATGGTTGCCCAACTCCATATATTTACTAAAAGTCATTGAATTGTACACTTAAAACAGATCATTTTGGCCGGGCACGGTGGCTCACGCCTGTAATCCTAGCTCTCTGGGAGGCCGAGGCGGGCGGATTGTTTGAGCTCAGGAGTTCGAAACCAGCCTGAGCAAGAG